GGGCTCCTGGCCTTACTAATAGGAACAAGGACGCTACTAGGAGCAAGGACGGACTTTACAACCTGCAGTGCGGGTCCGGCACACTCACTCAATCCCAGATGCTTCGCGAATAAACCATATCCTCACGAAAGGCGGGTGTTTGGTGTACGTAATTGACACCTCACATGTCAAGAATGTAAAATCATGTAACATCAGTTAGGATCATGTCAATGAGAGGCAACTCAAATGTGACACTGTCTTCTCTCTCCGATAAGGTTTTTATAACGCCAGGTGTTGATCGTTCCACACACAGCAAAAAAGAGGCCTCAAATTCAGCACCAGTGCCGCGACTTGATTCCACAGCACTTGCCACTCTGTCATGGAGACTAGGCACGACTTGTCTTTCTGCTTGTGAACTTGTAATAAAACGAGCCACGGTATACAGACTGCACCCTTTTTTTGCCTTTCAGTGGGCCTTGAGAATCTCACTGACTGCCTAAATCACTAAGCCAAAGATTTCCAAGATGCGGATTTGAATGACACACTCTCACTTCCTTGTCAACTCTTCAGCTTGAGCCAAGCGCTCGTAGCATGTCCCAAGTCAAAATGCAAAGTCTTGCTACATCTGGCAAACTCTACTGTTCTTTCTTTCCTTTGTTATGATGGAGTAGTAGCTTCTTGTTACTAGTAGTAACGCCAGGAGCTACTAGTAGCTTCTTGCTCCTAGTAGCGATGCCTGGAGCCCCTAGTAGCTTCTTGTTCCTAGTAGTAAGGCCAGGAGCCCCTAGTAACTGTCTTTCCTCTCTTATCAAAAGACCTCACGAGAAAAGGCGTCCTTGAGAATCGGATCCTGACGGAATGCTGTCTACGGCAGTCTACCGAGAAAAGGCGAACCAAACGGAAGTGAAGTGCCGAAGTGAACAAAGTGAACCAACATTTTCAATTCCGATTACACAGCAAAAAGGAGCAACCCGTGGTTCAGTGGCAAAGTCACCAAGTTAAGAAAGTGTGCAAACAAATTAAACGAATCAAGAAACCATGTTTTATGGATTCCGGTCTTTGACGAAATTCTTGCAAACGCCTTGCCGTTCCACAGTGCCAAGCCCAAACACAGCTGCATTGATCGATCGCACCAACCAGCCAGTCCATCCTGGTGGCAAAGTTGCCAATAAATGAAGAAAACACATGTCTTTAATCCTACTAGCAATGGCCTCCAACCAAATAGCGGTGGCCTCCAACCTACTAGCCATGGCCTCCAACCTAGTAGTGATGGCCTCCAACATAGAAGCAACTGTGCCCAAGCATAGCGAACAGCTGGTGACATTGACAGCCGGCGTTGCTTAAGCAAGTCCAAACTGTCGCAGTTCCATATCAAACACATCATCAATCTGAGTTGTTTCTTGGCACTTGCATCCTCTCCCCAACGGTAGGCCACATAATGCGATGCCTCACACCAAAAGGCAACACAATGGGTCATGTACAAATAAAATCGTCTCGCCTCAAATGGCAAATATATCCAAGAATTCCCATGGCCGGCATAATCCTCACCTGTGAGAAGTTCATGGAGCAATGTGACCACATGTGACCACAGAATTCACTTTACAAGGTTCCAACGACAGGTTCCCCAGTGGCGTTCGCTCACCTGGCGGGTCTGTCAATTGAAAAAAGCAGCGGTGCAACAGTTGCAAAGTGAACAACAAAATAGTACAAAATGCCTCGCAACTCTCAGTGAATGAATTTTGAAAGATTCTCGCCATTGGACATCTCAAATGGCCTGAATTCACAACCAATCTGAGTGTCAAACGTACGGCCCCCATTTTTTCCAGTCCTCCTGTTCGCACCTCGGACCAGTAGCGTTCTACCCGGCATTGGAGCGTCCGAACGCTCCCAGTAGCGATGCCAGGAGTGTGCGTCGTGTTTCCGCACATTGATTGAAGATGTTGTTTCCCCATAGACACATCTGTGGTGTTGCAGGACAACCTTGCCAATGGTCTATGCACAGGTTGACCTAACCATGTGTGTGTGTGTTAAAGACTTTGCTTGAACATCTTGGTTGAAACACTTAGTTGTTTGATTGACACTCTGGTTGCCACAAGAAAAAGGCGGAATGGATGATTGAATGATGAAGATGTAAATGACTATGGAAATGACATGGCCATGACGAGGCATAATTAGTTGGTATTGGGTATGATCCCAAAACCTTCCCGCCCAAATGCTCTACCTGTGGTCGTCCACTGACAATGTTGCTTAAGCCACGACAAAACATGACACTTCAATTTATGGCAACAAAATGGTGAAATTGCAGAATAGCAAATTGTCCTTTAGACGAGCACCATGTTGTGATAACAACTCAAAAAGAATCAATGCGCATCTTGACACGGGCGGAAAGGGTGATGTTTCAACTCAAGCCAAGGTTCGATAATCGCCCATGTTCTGGGGAAAGAGCGATGAGATCCTGCAACAAAAGACCAAAAGCAGGAAAGGCACAAAACTTTGCAACCGCAAAGTGCTCTTGATGCTCTTGGATCAAGCTTTGCACACATGTTTCATCATGCTTTCCTTCAAAGTTCATTGATTTGGAAATCACAGGCTCTGCTGCACCTTGCAGCACTTTGGGTTCGATAATAAAAATGGTGTTTAGACATGCTTGAAATCCATGCTTGCATTGTTGCTACTGTGTTTCTCATTGAATCATCGGAACAGTCTGGACCATGACCATGTGTCCTTTTCGTCTTGAACCCCAGGCTGCTTGGGCTGCTTGAGTTGTACACGCAACAAAACCAAATGGTTACTTTGGCATTGTTCCTTTGTTGCCTTTTCACTTCAGCACAAGCAACTAGAGCAGGCGAGTCTCACGTGAGGTTTGGAGTCTTCGGAGGCTACTGAAGGCACATCCTGGCCTGATAGGACCTGTCTCGACACACTGTTGCCGGACGTGCTGTGCCGTGCGGAAGTTGCACCATCAGTGCTTTCACCTTTTAGTGGGACGGTGAGTGGGGTCACTTGTGGCGGTTAATGTTTGGGACTTTCTGCGGAAGAGACGCTTTCCAACTCCAAACATAATGATTCATAGAATTCCTATTAGGGTGGAGGCCATCGCTAGTAGGGTGGAGGCCATTTTTGGAGATTAATTGAATTCCTTAGAAATCTTTGAATTCACGTGAGGGCCTTGGCGCTAGAGACGTGCAAACGCTATTGTTGGTTTAGATGACGCACTCGTATTGACGGATTGCCAGTGTTATGTTTGATTCCCTCAGTGTCCCTCAGGCCACTGATTCTCTGTATCTTCATGTGCCCTTCCAACTTATTGGTTGCAAAACTGAATTGCTTTATTTTGCTCGAGGGATCCCATTGTGCTTAGATCTTTTTGTTGTAGCACGGCAATACATGATGATTAATGAACATATCTTGTGTTTGAGGGAGTGCCTTCCTCGTTCCTGAACTAACTCTGATGCTTCACTTTCATTAGACAAATCAATGCGGTTGCCCGTACGGGATAAAAGTGCGAGTGAGTGTGTTTGTTGTGCATTCAGCATGCTGCACCGTTCGGCTGTTGCTGCTTGCTCTAGGATTCAGCACAAAAGGCCTTCTAAGTCCATTGCAGAAACATTTCGAACACAAAAATTGAAATTATCTGGAAGTTTTATTGTCTATAGAAAGATCCAATGAAAGAAATACAGGAGAAAGAACAACACAACTGCTACCCGTTCTTCAGGATATGATGAAAACAACAATATTTGTCTGCGCTTCGGAAATGATGTGTTCTATGTTGTTTCGAAAAACATCGAGGCACGTTCCCTCCTGTTTGGAAACACCCACTGGCGATGGATCAAAGGCGCTCCGGCCTGATTTTCACGCAGAGCGATGATGATCCACCAACACCAAGGCTTCGAATATAATAGAAGCAACAAAAAAGAGTAAACGCATAAAAAACATTGTTCTTTTTGAAGGGGTAGGCCGCTAGTAGGCTTACGTCTTACGTAATTAATTAAGCTAGTAAGCTTAAGTAGTGCAGGAAAGCTGAGGCTTCTTCAATCAAGTCCCCCTTCTGAGGGCGGGGGAGCTTCCTTTTTGTTTGGTTCCTAGATGTTTGTGGAAACTTGGTTAATATATACAGTACAACACAGAATGACACAGTGCCTAATGCACGTACAGAAGTTGGTAAAGAGAAAACAAGAGTGTATATACACGGTTATCTTGATTGGTTTGAGAGTCTGACTTGCTTGCCGCCATTTCTCAGCAAACTTCAAGCTTGCTGGCTGAGACCTGAGTGTTCAGCGCAAAATTGAGAAGACTATCGAGTAAAGCAACCAATTCACAATTGTTAAAATACAGAAGGATGGTTTCTTCGTTCAATATTGATCATGTTCTAAGCAGTCCCTTTTTCACCAAAGCCACTCATCCATCGCCAAGGCCTCAAAAAGTGGCTTCAATCAGGCTTCCAGGCCACAAAGAGTTCTTTGAATACCCTACGGCCCTACGATGGCCTGGTCGAGCCTGGTCGATGGAGCATCGATCCACCAAATGAAGCTCAATGCTGCGAAGACTGAAGACTCAAAAGGAATTCAATCTAATCAATCAAAAAAAAACTCGACATGTTGTTTTCTTATTGATTTTTTTTCTATGTGTTTTCTTTATGAATTTGCTATTTTTCTCCTATTCTGCTTTGTCGCTTTGTCATACTGTGAAAAATATAGTTTCCTTCGTCACACATGCTTCTTGTTTGTTGCTTCTTGTCTTTCTAGGTCCCACTATCACCAAAACAGGCCGCTCGTTCGACTCTCCATGTGTAAGCCTGGAGAAGAACGACTCTGACAAAAGACCTCTTGCTGTCAAAAACAGCTCTTCTGGCAATCTGCCAACAACAAAGTTGCTTAAGAAATACAACACCTTTTAAAGTTTTCCTTTTCTTGTTTAGACCGACCTAAAATGTTGAGCATTGGGAATGCGGTTGAAAGACGGCTCCGTTGGAGCAGCAACCTCCAAGTGGCCATTCCTGTCCTTTGGAGAAAGATGTCAGCTACCGTGCAAGCAAAAGGGTACTAGGAACAAGTGCACTAGTAGCAAGAAGCTACTAGTAGCAAGGGCATCGCTAGTAGTAGCTTCTTGTTCCTAGTGGGAATGCACTTGTTACTAGTAGCGATGCACTTGTTACAAATCGCTTCGGTAACTTGCGTCCTTTGGAGAAGGTCACTCCGGTATGTAGAAAAAATGCAATGGACGTAGTAATGACCACATGTCAATTAGGGTCCCGCCCTTACCCTTTGATCTCTTGCAGTACCTGCAAGAGACGTCAAGAAGAGCCAAGCTTTTCTCCTTGATTCCTTGGAGTTTTTTCGATGATCTTAGCCAGAGGGCAAATGCGCATTGGCTGAAGGGCA